CGTTTTACGTTTTATTTCGGCCTCTATGGGTTTTTTATACACAAAAAAAAAACAGTCAATTACTGAAACTTTTTCAATTCCCAATTCCCATTTAGCCTCAGCATTTACTAAAAAATTTATGCAGCAAACTGAAATTTTTCCAAAACGAACGTAAAATTAAGATATTTATGAACCCCAATCCTATACGAGGCTCATCTTCTAATTAACCAAAAAATAGAAACTTTCTTATACCGTAAACAGAATTCCTCCCTTTAGTAGAAAGAGTGTTTTGTTGTTCTTCAGCTTAGAAGCGCGTCGAGTGAAACTCTCTAAGAAGCAGAAATAGAGAACTAAAAGGGAATTAGAAACTTTGCACTAATTAGCGGAGCGCCTCTTGAAAAAAATATTTGAGAACTGGTTGTTTATATAACAACTTTAAAAAACATGCACTAAAAAACATTAAATCTAAATGTTCAAAAGCCAAAATTTAAGCTCGAATTTCAATAGTAACTTTCTCTTGCTTTGAGCGAAATTGTCAACATCCCATATATTTGATCCAGCTTTGTATGTTAATTACGATGTAAATACATCGAACCTATTGATTTCCATATTTCAATAACCTGTGCCAATAGGAATAAATACGCAAACATTTTTTATGAATTTCGATTGCAACTCAAATAATCAAAATTTACACACTAGGTTCATCTTTTGTCCTCGACAAAGTCGCATTTAATTTCGGTTTCGGTCAACACCCAGCAGCACTAAAATGTTTGCCATCAAGTTTTGAATGTCAAACGCGGAACCAGAATAATAGACGCCAATCCGAACAATTTACATACGCCGATAAACCCACCACCATCTCTTACATGAATGGTCCGCACATTTTAATTTGTCCTTTCATTTATGTAACACCGAACCCTCTCGGATTTGTCTTTTTATGGACCTCTTTCTGGTTTAATTAGAGGAATGGACTCTGTATGTGGCAGCTGGAATTTGTGACTCGAATAAAACTGATATTAGATGCATATTTGGAAAATGTTTGTTTGGAAACTACTTTAGGAAAAATATGGTGCTCCTCGCACACAGTATACAATTTCCTTTATCAATTATTATTACATGCAATATGTATCGTTTTCGTAATATGTTTGAGTACGACTCTCATTTATTCGCGTTCACATACATAGGCAAATTTTTTAGTTTTAAATCTTTATTAAACTAGACATTCATGAAAATGGATGATTTTAATAAAGTAAAACAAAAGGCGCTTTTGTGAGATTAAAATTTTTAATTAAATTGTTCACTTTTTTTTGCGACTAAGGCCTGCTTATGGAGATTAACGAAAGTGTACGTCTGCTATAAGAGGAACCTGCATGGAACTATACCAAACTGCTTTGGGCCTCGAATAAAATACCGCCGTGCCTATTCAGCCCGATGGATTAAGTAATTTTTGTGTAAGAGTTAAAAAATAAAATAAAAATCGGTTTGTGTACAACAAAGCAAGCGGAAATGGTGCATAAGTGATACAGCTTAGTGGATATTTAAGGTTTTTTTTAAATGGTTTCAGCTTTTTGTAATCCAGCTTTATAATCAAAAAAGCTATTTTGTATGGGATATTTTATTAGTAAGTACCTACCTACATACTATCCGCGTAGAACAAAGAAAAACAAATGTGTAACCTATTTTCAATTCCAATTGTAACTTGATTGGTTTTTGGCATTCTACCTAATAATAATAATAAATTTATTCAAACACAATTACAATCAACAACTGTTTTAACTAACATACACAAATAATATTACTTCTACATCTATTTAGCGGCACCTAAGTGAGCAAATCACCTGTATGTGCCCGATATGTTTCCAGCTTACTGGTAATTGAATAGTAAAAGCATGAAACATAAAATAAGAGCAATAAAAAACAACAATTGTTATAATTGTTGTGCTAACTACTTACGCCTACCCCAAAGCCCCCCAGCCCCGTACCCCATCAACATTTTCCAATTCCATGAATTTACAACAATATTTTTATTTCACTTTCAAAGTACATACCTTATATCTAATCAAGGATAGCCATAAAACTATCACTATTTTTAACAATATATATTTTACATTTTTTATTAAACAATTTTATTCTAGATAGGTTTTTTATTTCCGTTGGTAACAAGTTATAAACTTTTGGTGCCAAATAATCTATAAATTTCAAGTTTAAAGTCTTGCTATTCATTGGTATCATCAGGTGTTTATTTACATTTGATCTAGTCTGGTGGTCATGTGCAATAAATTTTTTCATGGTTTTATTTTTAAATGTAAATAGACAAATGGAATGTATATATAGACATCTAATATTGCATATTGTCGCATCATACAGCAAATTGGTTGGGAAAGATCTTTTTTTTTTAAAGATGACCTTTAGAATGTAATTTTGTATTGTCATGAGAGGAAGTAGATTGCTCTTGTATGTGCCCCCCCAAATTATTAGTCCATATCGGAGCAAGGATTCAACCAGTGATTTATAAATCATTAATATTAGTTTTGAGGATAGGAATTCTCTTAAAATGTAGAATTTATAAATAAGCGTGCGGATTTTTTTAGTAAGGTACGATACATGCCCATTCCATTTGAGATGCTGGTCAATTATGAGACCAAGATATTTTATTTCCGATACTTCCGCTATCGTTGTATTGCTTTCACTGTTAGTTGTGATGTGATTAAATGCTGGTCTATTTGCGCGGGTCAAGGAAAATGCCATATATTTGGTTTTTGTTAGGTTTAGTGACAGTTTATAAGAGTCCAACCAGTTTTTGACTGCGTTGAAGCCATCAACCAATTTATTCTTAACTTCCTCCCATGTATCCCCTTCAAACAACAAAACAGTATCGTCTGCATAAGAAATCATTTTCCCATGAATATTAAGTTTCAGCAATGAATTAATATATGTTATGAAAAGGATCGGCCCCAGGATTGTTCCTTGGGGAACCCCAATTTTTATGTTCATCGGAGCACTAAGTGTTGAATTTATTTTAAGAAATTGTTGTCTATCTGAAAGATAGCTTTCAAAAAGGCTCAGTGCAATGCCCCTAACTCCATATTTTTCCAATACGTTCAGTAATTTTTGGTGAGGCACCGTATCGAAGGCTTTGGCCAGGTCTATAAAAACTGCTATTGATTTTTTGTTGCTATTGAAATTGTTGGAAATTTCTGAAATGAGGGCGTACATTGCATCTGCAGTACTCATACCTTCTCTAAAACCAAATTGATTTGGGGATATCACGTTATTTATTTTGAAGAAATTAATCAGTCTATCTTTCAAGCATTTTTCGAATATCTTCGCAAAATTACTAATTAGACTAATGGGCCGATAATTCTGTATTTTATTCTTTTCTCCACTTTTGAAAATTGGCGTAACAATTGAGTCTTTGAAGAGAGATGGGACTTGGCCTGTTACAAATATCAGATTAATAATATGAGTTAATGGCTTACATATTTGTAGGTGGATAAATTTAATGAGTTTGGACTGAATTCCATCCCTGCCCGGGGAACTATCATTTTTTAAGCTGGATATTTTGTTTATAATTTCATTTTCTGTGACTGGGAACAGATATAAGGATTTTGCTATGTTTTCATTGTTTTGGTAAGCATTAATCGTTTTTATTTTTTGTGCCATTTCCGTGCCCACTCCAATATAATACTCATTACAGTAATTGGCCATGTCGGTAAAGTTGTGAAAGCTATTCCCATCTCCGTCCGATATTTTGAGAACCTGATTCTCGCTTTTACCCCTTTCATCCGTTGCCTCTCTTATGACCCTATAAAGATTTTTTATATTGTTTTTTTTACTTTCAATCTGCTGCCTGTAATAATCATGCCTTTGCTTTCTTAGAAGTTTATGTAATTTATTTCGATATGTTTTATACTGTTCGTTAAGTGCATCACTATAATTTTTAATAAGATTCTTTTTCATTTTTTCCCTTTTTTTGATTGAAGCAATTAGTCCGTCTGTTATCCAGTTTTTTAGCCTTTTTTTCTTTTCCAATTTACTTTGCCTTCTGGAAGTTACTTGTTGTAATGCAGTCTTAAAAATGTTCATAAAGGATTTGGTTGACTGCTCAGGATCCTCTGACTCAAGAACAGACGACCAGTCCTGTCTAGATATGTGGTCCTTAAAGGCACTATAGTCTATGTGCTCACGATATTTCAATGATTGTTGTGTCTCGTCTGTGATAAGGTTACTGTTTGAGTTGATATTGATGTTAAGCATAATTGGAAAATGATCCGTAATGTCAGTGTTTAGTACAAATGACTTTAGATTAAGGTTAGTTATTTTAACCCTTCTCCTTACAAAAATATGATCGATACAGGTTGATGCGTCAGGTGTCACCCTGGTCGCGGTATTTACATATGACGCAAAGCCATATCGTCCCATGAGAGCAAGATATTCGTTTGCAATATTATTATTATTGTTGCGTTTGATGTCTATATTTACATCCCCGGTAAATATTTCAATATCTTTCCTCAAGGAGCCTTCAAAAAATTGCGCTAAGTCATTACAAAAGAGTTGCTCACTGATTGGTGGTGGTTTATATACACATGTTATCCCAAAGGAAACTCTATTAAGATGGAACTCAATTCTACTTATTGTTGCCTGTGACAAATTCAGTTTTTTGTGGATGATACTAACATTTAGATATTTTTTGACTAGGATTAGAACGCCATCATTTTTATTATAGTCTGCGTTATTATAATGGGTTTCATAGGCTGGCAAATTAAAGTTATCACAGGCTCCTACCTGAAAACATTCGCTAAGTATTATGATATCATTATAAAAAAGTTTGTATTGCTCTAAAAACAAGATAAAATTGTCAAAATTTTTTCTTACACTTCTAATATTTAGATGAATGACATTTATTATTTTATTATCTATTGCAATTTGTTCCCTTAACTTTATATCGTCAACCAACTCACCCTGATCCCCTTCCGAAGTGTCCATCTGTTGCAAAATCTCCTCTTGTGGTGGTTTGAATTTTATGTGCTGTAGTCTATCTTATTTTTTAGTTTTTCTAAATGGTATATGTAGCTTGGACACTCCGGGTTGGAGGATGCATGGGTTATAGCATAATTTGTTTTAAATTTTTGGTTGGCTTGCATGCAGTTATTGCACTTCAAATTAACCTTTCTACATTCTTGTTCTTCATGCTCCTCAGCACAGAAATCACACACTTTTTTTCTATCACAGGCTTGCTTTTTGTGGTAGAATTCTTGACAGTTAAAGCACCTTGTTACACTTAAGTCTTCATATATGGGGCATCGGTTCCATTCGACATTAATTTTTTTATGTATCATACATTTGTGAAAGAAATCAGACGAGCATTCCGCAAGAATCGTTGAAGATTCGTTTTTCTTCTTCCTCAGATATGTCACCTTTATGTAATCTGCATCTTTGATCCATGTATTCTGCTTTCTAATACTCTCCTCCACCTCTTTCTCAGATTTTATGCCTTCGTATCCTGGTATTTTAATTTTCGGTTTTATCATTTTTGTCGTGGTTACTTCATAATCATTTACAAGCATGTCCTCTGCTGCTTTCTTTAATTGCTCTACATCTTGTCTACTAGGGCAGTTAATAATCATGTTCCCGTTTCCAGTGAATCGCGTATTTTTGATTCCTACATTCAGATTGGCTGGGTTTATTGTTTTTGTAATGTCTTCTCTGGTTTTACTAACCTCCTGCTTTCGGATAGGACGTATGATCAAGCTAGGTACATTCACTTTCTTTGTTGTTTTCGAATTGTTGAGTACAGAAGCATATGACTTTAGGGAAAGTTTGTTTGAGGCAACATCTTCATTTAACTTTTCTAGGTCTTCAATTTTTTCCTTAAGCAGGCTTATTATTTCGTTCTTATCAATGATCAAGCTATTCTTAGTGTTAATTATTTCATGAAGTAGCATAAACGTATCGTGTTTTGTGCAATTTGGACAATAGAATTTCATAACTCTTTTCCCTTTTAATTCCAGTACTTTTATTTCTGACGAAGACAACTCACCGCATTGTTTACATATAGGTTTCTTGCAACCATCACAGTCAAAAACATCTTTTGTTTTTCTTTCTTCACATATAGTGCAGTTCATTGTTAATCAGGAAAATCAAGCTGCTATATATGACAACACTGCATGGTACATTCCACACAAACACGCACTCGCCGCTTTTTATGATTATAATTTTCAGTAAATATTTCGTTGAAAAATCTGTTATTTTCACTGCTTCACTTCCACTAAGAGCCACTAAGTTGAGTTGACTGAGTTTAATTATTTTTTATGCACTTTTTACGTAAAAATTTGGCTTTTTTTTGACCCGACCATGAACAAACGTACCACCATGTTGCCAACGGTGCAAGCATTTTTCAACGTAGGAGGTTTTGTGAATTACTGATTTACCATAAACATTTCCAACTTTTGATCAATAGCATTGCCTGACTACCAAAGGTTCCATGTACAAAGCTAGGCGTATCAGGGTGATTAGATTGAAACCAGGATCAACCAAGAAACAAACTAGGTAAAATGTATGCAACTTTATTTTGAAGAATAATACCATCTATTTTCATGGGTGCTCACATGTAACTACCTACTTATATGTTTCTGGAAGGAGCTTGCATTTGAGTTGGCCTTTGCAAGAACTTCCAATAAATATTTAGGATTTTGCATTTCGAATACATGGAGTAACATGAAAAATATCATTACAATTCAGAATTTGAAAACATAGAGATTTTTTATAAAAAGAAGAGGGGCTTTGAGAGCAGAATAATTGATGCACCACTGGTTGTTAAATTGAGGGAGGATAAAAAAATAATTTTCGGAAAGGGTCTTTCATTCTCCCTCAACTGTTTCGCAATGTAAAATTTTCCACTAGGGGATGATTTTCACGTTTATTATTAATTTAATTAGTAACTCCGATCCATTACAAAGTATGAGTTATGACAAAGTCAACAATCGAGAAACTATAATTAGAAATCCAGGGGCAGTTTTTAATCAAATCAAATCAGTTCCCGCCCAGATTTAGGTATCAATTTCCGTGGCACGTAAACGTTAACAGTCTTCCCCCTCTTACACAAAAAGGGTAAATGATGATATCCAAAGGAGACTTATTTATTGATTGGTTGCATATTGCCTCGTATCACGCCACTTTATTTCTTTGAAATTCTAAACCAACAAACAGGAGCGTGTTTTAGTAGAGACTTAATAAATATTATTTTGTTTGCATTTTGCTTTATTTGTAAAACGTAATTTTAGAATAACGTTACTTTGCTTGAAATGTTTCTCAGTCACTAAGCTCCTGAAATTCATTTCTTGTGAAGGACTAGAATTCCCAAAACTTTTTAAATATTCATAATAAAACCCTTGTTATGCAAAGGTATAATTATTAATTTACCGAAGCCAAGACAATCTGAGACTAATTTAAATCGATTAATATTTCATATTATGTTAATGCATTATTTTCATCTGAATTCATATTATTATATTCGTATATATAACTCAAACTGACCGCATGAATTCTGCCATTCTCCGACTACCAAGTTGACATTTTAAAAAATGACTGTTAAACGTGGTTTTAGGACCTTCATTAATGTCACTCCATCTCGGGGAAAGATGCTGACGAGCATTTTCGATTATCCCACGGACGTTATTTTACATAAATGTAATTAATCCGGTCAATTTTTTCTCTTTCGCTTTCCTAATACCGAAATTGCTTTTCGAATGGCTGCTTTTGAAAGTTAATTTAACAATCTTGACACGTTGCTTATAATTATAACGACAGCGAATAAATTCAATAATGCAAAACTTCCTTTTTTCCCTTCATTAAACATTAATTCAAAGGACAAAAGCAGGATTCGCTGATGTTGCAGACCCTTTTCTAGAAAATCCCCAAGGACTGCAACCGGTAGACAATTAATGACGCATGCTGTTACCGTTGGGCGCAAAAAGGGCACAGAAAAAAAAAAGGATAATCGAGTAAATAATAGGACTGCCTTGTTTTATTTGAACTGTTTTCCGTCGCGAGTTGGTGTGTTTTGGGGGTATTACCAAAATGTTTTCTGGTCGACCTTTGATAAGGATTTGTGTAAACATGGCTCGACGTAATGGGTAATTTTTTTCCGGTTGGAATGTTCACTTTTTAAGGTTTGAGTTAAATTTTAATTAAGGTGGGATTCTATATTGTCTCAGGGTTTAGGGTTTTCGTACTATACTTATTGTCACGGATTCTGGGTTCATTTGAAACTCACTTCACAAACAGTAATAACTTTAAAATTGACTTAAACTTAATACTACTCCGCTCTATTTATTGCAGACAGTGTACTCAGGATTTATCTAGGAAAACCTGGCTAAAATTCTCCGAATTGTTTACGCGATGCACAGATAATTCCATTTCTTGGAATCCGTCCGGGGTCCCGAGCTAATTTCGTACCACTGCCTCTCTATCAAATCAGATCATCCCGATCTGACTACCAAGACTCCTCTTCTTCGTCTATATCTCCACTCAAATCCATAATGATTTAATCTCTCGCTAGCGACTTAAACCGCTCAGCCTTCCTGACTCTCCAGATCTTCTCTTTGATTGACGTCATGGATACTAGACGAATGGCTAACCGATCCTGTCCCCTGTTAATTACGAGGCTGCCAACTGCCTTTTCTGCGCCTTGACCTTCTGGATCAGCATCAGTCGTAATCGACCAATCTTCTTGTTCCTGGTTTTTCTTTCTCTGCTTGCTGAATTTATCTTTCCTAGCTTTGGTTGATCATTCCCCGGCTTCCTTAATCTCGAAAAATGATTCGAGGTCAAGATCACTCTCTTCTAGTTATTCACTTCCCAACTGCTCGGGACTCGGTTCTTTATTCATATCTGAATCGAAAGCTTCTAACAGAAACTCTTTTCAGCTTACCAATTCTGAGGCAGTTCTTGCCTTGATCTGAGCATGTTCGACGTTCAAGTTCCCAATCGAAGATTGACTGTCATACAGAAGTAGAGCGAGATTTCCAGTTGTATGCTACAGTCACGTTTAAAATGTCCTCTTCTAACAACATTTAATGCTCCGTTTTAAGTTTCCCAATTTGATTCTGATAAAAGCTTTCCGTAACTCTTCCTGAAATTTCTTCATTATGGTGCCGGTATTTGGTTCTTTCTCTTCACGAATCGGCACACCTCTAATCTTTGCTTTAGAAATGTCATAGTTCGCCTCGATTTCTAGGGCCTTGATTAGAGCTGCGCTGCTATTCGATGGTTTGGTTATTGGGTTGGCAGCATTCTCTGAATATCCATATCTCTAATTCCATGTATAAAATTTTCAGTCACTAGTTGTTCTTGCAAAAAATGGTGACTTAAGATTGTGTCTTGATCCTAAATTTTTAAACCAAGCTATTAAACGTGAATCATTTTTAATTCCCACATCGGTTGAAATTGCAAATAGGCTTTGCAATAAAGCATACTTTACAGTCCTTGATATGAAGGATGGTTACTTTCAAGTAGGTATTGATGATGAGTCATCGTATCTGTGTACTTTTGGGTCATATAAATTTTGTCGTTTACCATTTGGCATTTGTTCAGCCCCAGAGGTGTTCCAAAAATTAAGCTCTGAATTTTTTGGCGACATTGCAGGAGTGGGAATATGTTTTGATGACATAATCATAATAGGCTCAACAGAATCAGAGCAAAAAAAGACCAAAATTTACAGCTTGTGTTAGAAAGAGTTGAAAGGTTGAACATAAAATTTTACAAAGGGAAAATTCAATTTAAATCTAAACAAGTCAGATTTATGGGTCAAATTTTTTCAAAAAGGGGAATTGTAGTGATAATTATGTCAAGGCAATTATAGATATGCCTATTCCAATCAATAAACAGGATTTATTGATCAATTGAAACATTTAATAACCAATGCCCAAGTTCTAGCTTTTTTCAATCCTGCCTATCCAATAGAAATAGAAACTGATGCTTCAAAAGACGGAATAGAGTTCTGTATTATGCAACAGGGTCACCCAATTGCATTTGCATCTCGTAGTCTATCAAAAAATGAAACCAGATATGCACAGATAGTAAGAGCTTCTCGCTATTGTTTTTAATTGTCAAAAATTTCATTATCTAATATATGGGGCTCAAGATGTGACACTTTTTTTCCGACCCCAAGCCTTTAGAGACCATTTTTAAAAAAGATTTGCAACAAGTTCCTCCTAGACTGCAGCGAATGCTATTAAAAGTACTTCATTATAATCTCAAAGTAATTTACAAACCAGAAAAATATCTGTACATATCTGATACTCTATCGCGAGCGTTTCTCAATAAAAACAATTTGAATCTAGACCTATAATTTAGAATATGTTGTGCATTCTGTCTCCAGGTAACTGCCAATCTGTTGATTGTTGGTTGATACGTACCTACCAATAGTTACATCAGCAGGGGATTCCTTTGGTTTTTGGTTTTGTCATCTTATCAAGTCTTGTCTCGTAGTCTAGTGGAATATATTTATATTTTTGATACGAAGTATTTTAATTGAAAACCTAAGCATAATACAAGTTCCAACTTCCAGATGGACACTTTAAATTTTCTGATGAACACTCCCAACTTCTTCACGTACTATTTCTATTGCATTCGTAAATTTATTGTCTTGCGCTTCCAGAATTTTCTCGAGTTTAATTTGCTCCCCAAAGATTACTGTCTGAAATCATTATCGCGGAAATTTGAAGTTTTCCTGAAACCGGTCCTGTTCCTCTAGTTTATATTTCTGTCTCTGGTCTTCTTCTTAGTGTAGAAGTGCTGCAAGACGGTCCTGTTCTTCTTGCTTGTCTTCGATCTTCTTCTTGTTTTTCTTTCTAACTTTGGTCATCTTCTTCATGTTTTTCTGTCGGTCTACGGTCTTCTTGTTGTTGTAGAAGTGGCAAGCCGGTCCTGTTCTTCTTGTTTCTCTTACTGTCTTCAGTCTTCTTCTTCTTGTTTTTCTGTCTATCTTCGGGCTTCTTCTTCTAGTCTTTTGTCGTCTAAATTCTTCATGAAGTCCGGCAACATTTGATTAACTTGCTCTATTATGCTGTCGTGTATTTACCATGGAATACTCTGAATCTTTTTTGAAACTTGATGACGATGG